TTTTTTTCAGGTCTGATTTTCGCAATTGCGAGGATCGTGCATCATACGTATCTACAACCGCAGTTCAAAATATATGAACTTCATATATTCATTGTATCTGATTTATCATCATGGGCTTATTACGAATCAACTTAACGGCCTGCTTCCAGTTGGCTTGTTAACTCAATTGGTAGAGCGCTGTAGTAGTATCGCAGAGGTCAGTGGTTCGAATCCCGTACAGGCCTGATTTTTTTCAGGTCTGATTTTCGCTATTGCATAAATAGCGCTCTCTACTGCGAGGATCGTGCATCATACGTAAAATCTTGTATCTTAACAATTTAAAAGATTACTTTAACATTATACTTTTTGTGTAGTGTAGGACCTCCATTGCCATTAAGCAGAATATGATACAAATAGAAATTTGATTGCAATGAAGTGACAAGAATGGGAAACTGAATTCGTAATGTTAACAAGAAAGTACTTATAGAAAAACTTATGACAGTTGGAAAGCGAATGTTTCGTACTTGTGACAATTCAAATGCAGAATAGAAACTTTCAATAGCTGCTTCTCCAATACCAGTGAAGTAGCCTTCATTTATGTTTATCTCAGCCTCTTCAGTTCGAACAGCTGAGAAATGTTTCTCGAGTCATTTTCCAAAGCCCACCTACCAAGACCATTTCAACGAACGCTGTCACTCGAATCGGATTGGTTTTCCACTTTTCTCTTTCATACTCGGGGTTGAGTTTGGGTGTTAATATTTTACAGGGGATCTAGAGTCCTATTATATTATCACCTGCCCTCTGCCGAATCATTAAATAAATAGATAAATGAATGAATGAACTCCATTCAAAACTCAACTATCGAGATGGAGACAAAAAACCAATATCATTTATTGTCATATGATTCCGGCCACCCAAGTGAATATATCTTTCGAACTTTTGTAATGTTTTTTTGTTTCGTCGTGTTTTGTTTTATTCTTTTTATTTTTTTTTATTCTTTTTCTTTTTTTGTGTGTAGGTTAGTTATTCTTTTCTCTTCTGTATTTGGTCTTTTGAAAATTGTGATCAAGAAAAAGCTTATGCATTAAGACGGATAAAATGAATTAAATTTAGTTGCTGATATCATAAACACATGTATATAACATAGTTTAACATATTTCAAATAAATTTCATTACACTTACTGGAAATTGAAAAAACAAAGGGAAGCAGAACAAAATCCGTATTCTCAGCAGATTTCGCTTCTGCTCATCAAAAAATTTTTGGAAACCAGTAAATAGCTCGTCAAGGTTCAAAAAGCTCGCGCACTTGTAAAACAAATTTAAATCAAGTTGAGAAGCCATGATGTTGGAGTAGAGAGATAACAGGAAACTTTTCATCTAGTGAATCAAACAAAGCGATTCATTTCGTCCCGCAGAACTGTGGATTCATGTCGTGTCATATCACTTGAATCAGACATTTAACAATCGCAGCCCTTTAGTATTTCTTGTACTTATGTTCTCTTTGCTTTCTTTAATTAAGGTGGAAAACAATTGGTCCGGACTTTGTCTTGATACCCAGCAGACGTTAAATCTTTTGAAATACCCATAGCATTTGACAACTCAACCCAAGCGTTGCACCTGCTCCATGAGTAGCGGAATAGCCGCCTGCGGATGTATGTAAATGCATGTTTTTCATTCGTATTCAAAGTGTATATTTTCAGACCAAGTGTCACCAGTCCAAGAGTCACTAACATGCAGCTCTTTCCAGTCTGGCTGTTTTTTCATTCTTTGTTAAAATTGACGTTGGCAATGCAAGGTAGCGCTATTTATCGAAATCCAACAAGCCACGTTTATTTGGGCAACTTCAGGCGCGATCACTTCCATTACTTGTGGGTTGAAAAACTTACATCCTCAATGGTGGAAAATGGGTTAGAATGCACTCTCCTCTGTGTCGGAGACCCAAAGTGTTATTCGTTGAACGTGGCAGCGTATCCTGACTCCAAAGGCCTTTATCTGTGTGAGTTGTTATCTACCGACAAGTACAATGCTACCGACTATTTCCTCGCAAATGACACCTTTCACCATCAAGGACCGTTGGTGAGTATTTGGTGATTGTACAAAAAAAATAGACTTAGAATGCAGTTGAAAGGGGATGGTTCTTAATATTTCAGTCTCCATGTGAAAGCACTCCTTGTAAGAACGGCGCTGTCTGTGTTCCTGAATATGTACTGAACTCCTATCACTGTAACTGTAGACCTGGATCCTGGGGAAATCACTGCGAACGACGAGGTATTTTAAGCATTCATCATTTTCTTTGTCGAGTACTATGGAATTTGTGAACAAAAAAAGTTGCAAAGGTTAAAATATTATTTGTTATTATACCTGTTCAGTATACCTATTTCCAGCCCTTTTCTAAAAACTAAACGAATGTCAGTCACTTTGCCATTTTCCCAACTTATAAAGTTCCCAATTAGCATTTGGTTTATACGTCAGCTCTGCATTTGCGCATTAGGATATGAAATACTTGAAAAGGTTAGAGAGTACTGAAGACGCTAGAGTTCGTCTTGTCCTTGTCGCGCCTTGAGAAACTCTAACACATTTTTCCTTCTATCCAAACGTTCCATGTGATTCATATCTCGATATATGCACAACTGCCGTAGGAACCAATGAATAAGTTGCAAGTTATCGGATCCTTGTGTTTGCAAAAATATTTACGGGATCGACCAGGAGCAAACATTGCAAGTTGCTAGAGGAAAATATGTGGCGAGAGGTTGTTTCGACGTCCAAATACACGATGTTTTGCAGAGAGATCATCACACTTTCGCCGCCATTAAATCTTATTACAAATGAAGCGTACGTTTTTGCGTAACGGACTGAATAAACATGATTAAGACGTGAAATATGTTAGATATCTATCGATAAACCTGTCACTATTCGGAAGGCTTTTTGTAAAATTGACATCGCGTAATGGTTTTGTTACAAAATCATGTTTTTGATAAAAAAAATTACGGCGGCTTAAAATTATACCTCCTCAAAGGAAAGAAGTGGTTGGCAGCGGAAATTTAAATTGTTTTAACGAGCTGCTACTCTTTGAAAGAATGAAGTAAGCGAAGAGAAACACTAGATCATTAGGTCGAGCTCCAGTTCGTTTTGGAGAAATCGAAAGGTTTTTTAGCTACCACACTTTGCTTCGGGATTCTTTGAAGATCTTCTCAGGAACAACAAGATCACGGGAACTCGGGCAAAAACTGAAGAAGTCTGAAGACATGTATTCAGTAAAGACATGTATTCCCTAAAGCGACCCAGTTGTACCGACTCAAAGGAGCAAAGCAGGCTGGATATTCACTCACTTTAATGTATCACGATGATCATGCACAAGCGCACCACTGAATCTCCTGTTGCTTCGAGGTAACTGTTGTAGCGCCCTTTTGTATTTCCGAGCCAAGTAAAAGCTGGAAGTAAACTTTATACAAGTTATAAAACTAGGTAATGTACGTAATGTTATTCTTAGGAACTCTCAATAAACCTAGTACAAGGTAAAAAGTTTATCGGTAAATTTGTTTACATATTTCATGGTTATTCATACGAAAACGTACGCTTTCTCATTACCTCAATCCATTTTTATTTCAAGAGCGAAGTATTACAGTCTAGTAAAGTATGACAGTATAGTTGTGTCTCAACTATATGAAAAGAATTTTGTCGGATTTTCAAGGCAAAACGTCAAATGGAATTCATATAGGAAAGATAAAAGTCCTTCAAAATATTTCAAACATTTCCGGTCTCTTGGTGAAAGAAAAATAGAAATGCTTCATGGTTATGACATCACGCCCTAAACTATTTGCACTATGGTGCATTATGGTGTCTCTTTGATGTGCTTTCTTAGGGAGCGGAATACGAAGCCACATGGACTTTTGTGTGGTCCCAAACGAAGGAGGTTGTTCTCCTCCTGATGGGAGCTATCTTATCCTCACCAAAACGGAAGGCACAGCTTGTAATGCAACCGATCAGATTTTTTTTTTGGACCAAGATGGAGTTATCTATCATACATGCAGCAGGAAAGTAGTTTGTCCACAGGGTAACAGTTTTCTCCATTTACTTTACATAGTTAGTTTTGTTGTTGTTGTTGGCATCATTTATGAACGTTATCTAATTTCTAATTGACTGTTTTCGATGTTCTTGTTATCGTTGCTTATTATTTTAATATAATCAATCATCGACAAAATTTAAGTGAGCTTTTAAATTTTATCTGACAGTAACAACATTTCTA